TCCATTCATTTTTTAAAAATTCATATTTAAATACAAAAACAAAAACATCAGAGGCTTAAATCACTTGTCAGGTAAAATGGTTAAAAAAAGAATGTACTTAAGAACTATTGTTTGAGAAAGCGTTTAGCTTTCCATCATTTGGTTCCCAAGGTAAAAGAAAACCATAACCACATTTCAATATTTAAAAATAAAAAAAATATTGTAATATCTTTGGAATAATTAGTCCAACGAAAGAAAGGGAGAAGTATTTCTGTACTCTAATCACTGCCATCTTTATTGGTTTTCAGTTTCAGTTCTTTACTTAAATTTCCCTACATCCTATGTAATTAATCATGGAAAGTCTTGTAGTAGGAAAATCCTAGTTTTCAGCAACTGGCCTATAATGGTCTTTGTGGTATCACAGCTCTACTCTTTGATGACAAAGCCAGCAGTTATCACATCTCTCTGTGAGAAGCATTCTAATATGTGGAAAGAGATGCTAAGATTTTGGAGTTAATCTTTTCTAAAAGATAACTGTTTCCTACAACAATAAAAACATTTCTTGTTCTACCACTTCCTTTTCACATATATAATTAATCCATAACACAGAACCTTTGCCTGGCCCTTTTGTAAGATAGAATCTGAAGCCCATGACTTTTTGCTTTGCTTTCAAGGTAGCCTACGGTTCTAGGAAAGCACTTTACTGAGCTAAGGGCCACAGTATAGTTGTTGTTCAAAAAAGTTACTATTTTAAGAAGTTAAAAAAAAGGAGCGCCAGTTTGGTCTAGTGGTTAAAGCTCCAAACTAGAAAGCAGGCGACTGTGATTCTAGTCCTGCCTTAGGCTCGAAAGCCGGCTGGGTGACTTTGGGCCAGTCTCTCTCTCTCAGCCCAACTCACCTCACAGGGTTGTTCTTGTGAGGAAAACAGGAGGAAGAAGGCATATTAGGTATGTTCACCGCCTTGAATCTTTATAAAAATAATAAAGGCAGGATAAAAATTTAAAAAAAAAGTCAGCCAAACAAATCATAGTACTGTACTGAAAGCTGTAAGCTATTTTGTGAGACTCAAATACAGACTTAAACTGGAAAAAATGATAAATCAGCTGATATTACATTATTGTTCAGAGGTAAGCCTGTATAGAAAAAAGAGGCATACAGGAAGCATATGTGCAGGAACAATGAGAATCCTTTAGCAGTCAAAGTAATTAAAAAAAACAAGGTACAGCAAGAATTTAGTAGCAATGAACATTTAGATGTTTACACTAAGAGCAACTGATGCATTTTAAAAAAGAACAAAAGAAAAAGGGGGAACCACCAAAGATAGCATTTTTAGGAAAGCAAAACAACAGGTTGAATGTCATCCAATTGGATCCAAAAATTAATATAGTAAAATCCTGAAAATACATCTTTTCCTTTTTAAAGAGAATATCAGAAAATTAAGCAGTACCAAATAGAACTAAACAAATATTTTTTGGTATGATTGTGATGGGCAGGGCATGGGGACGTTCTCAAAAGCTGTTTAATCAATTTTAGAATTACTGTTAGGTTGGAAAAAAGCAACATGAATTAAAGATCTATAGAAAATACATATAATTTGCTTGACACACAATTTGGCATTTGTGCTTGGGCCACAAAGGATACAATCAACAGACATCCCTAACATGACTGAGAGGTTCATTTTCAGCCACAGCAATTGGAACTGGGACCACCATCAATGACTTGGCCCACATTACTGTATTTCCAGGGAATGTTGTTGGATAGAACATACATTGATGCAAATTGCTCCCAACAAAGCACTTGACAGAAAGATTAAAGATCAGGAAGCAAAAACAGAGAAAACCCAAACTGCATGCAGGTGGTAGTTACTACATTGATAGAAATCAAGACAGTTGTATGCAAGTTTAGGCACCCCTGGTCAAATTGTGGGTTGGATGAATCCCTAAGTGAACAGAAGCTGACACAACCTCTATGTGGAACAGTTCAACACACCTGTCTGTAAAGTTTGAATGCCTACTTACTCTTTATGTGGTGGCTTACAGATTCAGAATAAGAAAACGGGGAATATGGCAGCTGCAAAAATTCTGACTTGCTTTCAGTCAGTGCTTTTTATCACTTCCTTTGGCAGAAGTTAACAGCTTTCAGTTGTTTTCTGTTGTCAGTGGTCTTATTTTTGCTTTTGGATTTCTCCCCCCCCCCCTTCCTTGCAGAACATTTATAACTCATAATCTTGCGTGTCCTTGCATGCACTGCCGTTTGAAATCTCCTGAGAGATTTTTATAATATTCATACCTGGGGACCTTGAAGACCCTTCCAAAACGTTTTAGCTTTCTTTTCTAAACATATTATAGTTGATTCAGAGGCATGTTTTGGATCACCATCTTGCTGAAAATATTCAATCTTTTTTCAGCTTTACTACAATTTGACCAAAGATGCCTAAACTTTTGCATACAACTGTAGTACATTAACAAGAGACTGATGCTAGAAAAATAACAACTTGCCCAGGGCTATCTAATGAATTCTCAGCAGAGGATAGATTCAAACAGGAAACTTCCTGATTTGTAGTTAGGCCTGTACCTAAGTACATGCTTTGTGGGCAGAGCAAGTCACCAACTTTGTAGCTTAAAGAGTATTTGCTTTTTATGCACCTAGGAAGCCATTATGATCCAAACCTACTTCAATACACAATTTTTGGAATGTTTTGATTTGGGGGGAGGGAGTGAAATTCAGTAAAAAAATCCTCAAATAGGAAATACCAGAAATAGCTTAATGTAATGAACAGTGGTTACTAATGCTATAGGAGGATTTTAATAATTTGACAAACGCCTAGTTAATTTCAAAAATATGAAAGCAAGTTGAGAAACTAAGGCAGAACATGTGTAGATTTTATCCCATTTTGTTTCACACTTTAAAGTAAGGAAAAACTTTTCTGCTCTTTTAATGGTTTCAACCAGCCTATGGTTGACAGAGCCTATGGCCAAATTTATAGATAAATCTACATCACAGAATCAACTTGTTGCAACTTGCTTCTGATTATTGGGACAGATTCCCTAGAAAAACATGGGTTGGATCTGGTAAATTGATCATGAAAGAAAACTAAAAACAGTACTTTTCAGCTGCCTTCTCCCCATCCCCCCCCCAATCTTTCCTTAGAGGTAGAAGATAATTTTAAGATGAGCAGCGTCACATGGAGGTGAAAACAGTTCCAGTTCAGACAGAGGATTCTTGCATGAGTTCAGGAGAGGCCGTTAGAAGAAACAGAAAGAGATAGAGGCCCTCTTCCGTCAACTTGTTTCATTCTTAGGAAAGAAATCATTGCAAAACTGCAAATGTTTCAGCCAAGACATTTGATTTATGACTCAGTAACACACAAATCACCACCTAACAAGAGTATCATGAAATGGTACACATACAAATGTGAACCAGCCTTATTTTTCTTCAATTTGCCATAATCTCCATTGAGAGAAAAATGCTTGCATTTTTCTGAAGTATTTATTTCTTGCAGGAATTTCTTGTAGAGTCTTATGGTGGTGGTGTTTTTTTTTTTTGATAAAATAGTTTTTAAGAATGTGAATCCTAGCACAACCTGTGTTAACAATGTCCATAACAGTCTATTTTATATAGCACAAACATTTAGTCATATAACATTTGGTAATACTACCATCTTTTTTATAAACAGTACATGGAGTTATCTTGAACAAACCAGTGAACATTAATAGGACTGTCCGAAAAGCAAAACAGTATTTAAACCAAGTTCCAGTGGAACACACAGGAGTAATATTGGGACAATTCTTCAGACTGGTCCACCTAGGGAATACGCTTTTCATGAAACATGAAGCCTAACACAAACATTTTGCAGCTTGTTTTTAAAGTGCAATTTCATTTAAGAATGCCTATATGGCAGTGGCAAGATCATGTATACTACCATATGAAAGTGTGCCAGAAGGGGGAAGAAAAACTATTTTATCCTAACTCTACACCGACTGAACTATTTCAAATACTCTTTTTAATTCACTAATGAACAAAGGACATCCAGAATGTTATCTCTATATATACACATTGCCTATAATTGTTTTTTCTAGTTAATTCTGTTTGAAAAGCAAAGCAAACCAATACATGCATTTCTAAAGCAAGTTCTCAAAACTCAAAATACATTATGCAACTTAAGGATTAAGTTTAAAATTCTATTTTGGATGTTTTTTACTTCTTGATTGGTCTTCAGAGAACATTCCAATCCAACAACCACTAAAGACTAGAATCTAGTTTTGTTTTGTTTTTTAATAAATGAGGTTCCCGTGACTTTTGGCATTCAAAAGGTCTTTCAAAGTGAAAATACATTAAAAAAACATAGCAAGCTGGCAGCCATGCATACTTATTTAATTAGGTTAGTTTAGCAGTGAGAATACTAAAACAAAACATTTAGAATTTATTCACTGAGCTCAGTGATAAAGACTTATATGCATACAGAATTGCTCCTATAAAAATGAAAGCTATTTTTATAAACACATTCTGGTAAGAAAATTGCTAATTTTTTTCCTGTAGCTGTTCAACTTCTTTTTGTTTGAATCTTAAATTATTTTAAAAAAGGTAAGATTACCACTAGGTGAATCACTTTTATGGAAGACAGCAGTTTCTCCTTAGGTGTTACAAACAAAAAACAGAATTCAATAATTAGGGGAAAAATAAAATTAAACATTTAGGCACTTTGAGGACTTATTTTAATGTGTGCCATCAATACTGAGGTAATAAATTACAGTTCTGAAACTACTGCTGCCATAATTGACAGAAGCATAAATTACTCTGTATAACATTTTAAAATGAATAAATCTGACATTTTGCCAAAAGCAAAAGGAATTTTCATGTTTCTGCCACCTACTGATTTCCAAGAAGCCATACTCTCAGAACGTTTTCTTTTAGGGGCAAAAGCTTAGTGGTAATACCCCCAAGCTGAACATTTGAAAACATGTTCCCCCTGGAGGGTAAAAAATGTACAGCATTGTGAACGTAAGTTCCACAATTGTATCACACTTGCTTCCCCCCCCCCAAGGCTGAAGTAATAACTGCCTTCTTTTGGTAGGCGAAGAGAGTCTTTGAAACACCTTGTTTAACAATAATCACTGGACCAAGGGAATATGAATGCTTGAGGTTCTAATATAAAATCAGGATATTATTTTGTTTAAGCTAGTATTAAATTTATCCAAATAGATGGGTAAAGCTTCACTCAAATGTTGTTAACCAATCCAAAAAATGCTATTAAAACATAACAAGTATATTAGAGCAAACCTGGGTGACGTGAACACTGCTACATAGAATAAAAATGTGTTAAGACTAGTTACACTAAATGCAAAAGAAATTTGTGATTTTGTTTTGCTCATTTCAACTATAAATCCTAAGTTTGATAAGCAGCGTTGTTTGTATTAACTCAGTAAAAATACCAGAAAGCTTGTGCTCATTAAATATATATGTATATATAAAACATACAAAAAGTACAAGATAGTCACATTAAGAAACTATGACAGTTTTCTTTTTTTATTCTTTGTCAAGGGTCAAATTTCTGTCCACCAAATCTCACTGTGACTTTTGTTCCAGAATTCAGCATAGTGCACAGAATTCAACTACCTGTGCAGTCTGTTTTAAAAAAACCACACACACATACCACAGGACAAAAATGGTCTTCTTAAATCAAATTCTATTTGTGAATTCAGCAAAATAATTTCTATAAAATAAAACAGCAAATATTTAAATAGTATAGGGTGGGCTGTATCTGTTTGCAGGGGGTATTTGGTTTTTTGACAGGTTCCAAAATAATTACACACATTCAAGTTACCAATTTTTAATTTAAATACAGTATTTACTGATGAGTTCCTTGAAGTCTTTAAACAAATGTTTACTCTGGAATAGAGATACCTCAGGTTTATATTTGACTAACCAGTAGTTTATTTACTTTAATAATCAAACCCTGCTCCTAAGGTTAAGATTTCTCTTATAATGGATATAGAGCTAAGACAATTCTTGCTTTCAAGTAGAATTGTGCATGAGCAGAAAATCAGCAAGTTAACTTGGTGCAGTGGCACTCACAAGTATTGTGTGATTTTGTTGACTTCCACTTCACTGCAATGCAGTATAAAGGAAAGTATTAGAAGTTTTATCAAATAAGCTCTACTGAAGAAACAAAACAAGCACACCAAATACAGTCTGTTATGCTCCAGGCATCCTGGCATAGCAAAATTTGCATATTTGTTTTAAATCTTTTAATTTCCTATTACTGAAAACTAAGTATTTTTTTACCCCATCCAGAGACAGAACTGTCAAACATCAGATGTGAGGAACATATGTGCAACTGAAAACCATCGGCCACTTTGCCCAACCCTCCCTTCTTGTTTTATAACCCAGGCGTCTGAAGAAAAAGGGTTTAAACAGCAGTTGTCATTTTGGACAACTGCATTTTTCTTTCCTCACTGGCTACTCTAACTTGGTGTGAAGCCATGCTAAATGTTACAGCTTAACTATAGCTTCGAAGTGATTAACTTAATACCAGAATGGAAAAGGCAATGGAAAAAGACCTAGAAACAAGGTTATATCACCAATTTTCCACATCAACCAAAGAATTAAAAGGTTACCAGTCATTATGATGCTCATAGTAAAATTGACTCCAGTGGCAAAGAATTACATGAAAGTATTTTTCTGGTTGACATGGAGAGGCTTATTTTTTGGGCGGGGCAAGGGTAAGGAGTTGATCTAACTGCCATTAGGCAGGCAACACTGGTTGTAGAGCGCAGCAGATATATCAAGAAATTAATTGTTGTAGATCTGTGAGTCTCATTCAAGACAAAAAAAAAAGTTTCTTGTTTAAGAATTAACAGTCAAACATTAATATACTATATACACCTTTGCCATTTACACATTAGCATCAGGCCATTTATTACAAAACACTATACACTTTCCACTGCAGGCAGGTTATATATTGACAGCAATTTTCTGCAGATAAGACAGTGAATAGACTCTTCACTCCATGTTGATTAGGAATAGTTTTTCTAAATATCAGCCAGACACAGAGAAAAGTTGGACTGTAAGGCCTGGGTGCACAGTCTTGATGGAGCAAGTTAATTATGTGCATTTTCACTATTCTTTTGTCTGAGGTGGTGAAACTTCTTCACTGCCTTCATAATTTTCTTGTGCTCGTTGGCCAGTTCGCTGAGGGTTGTTCATATGGTGTGCTGCAGGGCCCGTATACGGTTGTCCATGCACATGGTTATTCTGTAAGAAAGAAAATACATCTTAAGAACAATTACTTTATTTACTTAAACAGCAGCATGGTGGACTGGTTTGTAATAGTCTAGAGAAACACTTACCTGTCAAGTAAAATAAGACACAAAATAATTTATACTGAAACCAAAATGCTGATTCACTGTTTAAGTTCATGCAAGAGCTGAAGCTAAAGGAAAATAAATATGCTATCCAACCAATATAAACAGCCTGAATTGTATATTCAAAAATGAAATGGTGAGAAAGTAGCAGCATTATTTATTAAAGAAAAATATGTCCTGGCCAATTGCATTAATTTTTTGCCCTTAGGATACAGTACAGTCTTTGAGTCAAACATAATAAAATGATAATTTACATCATATGCATTAACTAAACTGACTTAAAGAATATGTCATAATGTAATGTATACTGGGATATGTGCATATTGAAATATGCAATAAAATAAAATAAAACTGAAATAAAATTAGTCATTGTGAAAGTTTGGAAGGGAGAAAATCTCTTGGGAATAAATCATACCCTAACAGATAAGGGAGGCGATAGATAAATATGGTCAACTTTGTGGCAACTGAATCTACATCTTTACCACTTCTTTGCTAGAAACATCAGTAACGAAAGCAAAATGAAAGCAAATAGGCAAGAAATAATATTAACCAATTTAACAAATGGGTTAAAAAAGATAAACAAATAGCGCAATTATTTATAACAAACATAATTCATAACAAATAAGCATGACTTTAACCTTGCAGAGGTAGCATGGTATTTTTAGCAGCATGTAACATTTAAGAGTTTAATCTTACATCCTTGCATTTAATCTAATTTCTCTCCTTCATGCCTGTTAGCTTAAGAAAACTTTGAAAATACAAAATCCAACACACAAACTATTCTCAAACCTGACTTTACTAACTAGGATTGGGAGGCAACTTCAGATAGCATTGCAAATGAATTGTAGAATCAGATCAGTGCTGACTGAAGCATTTCCATTAGCCGGGGCTGGCTCTAGGCTAAGGCCATGTAGGCACTGGCCTAGGGGCACCAAATTTCAGGGGGGTACCAAAATTGAAAAGACTTCTGAAAAACACAGTGAAAAAGCAAAAAGCAGTAACAGTGCACTCCGTGAGCCAGCACATCCACTTGAGGGTTTAATATAATTTCTCAGTGTAATAGGGTGAAAATGTTTCAGAAAAGAAAAAAAAAATTCTGGGACTGAAAACCGGAAGTGAAAAGCTCAAAAACCCAAAGAAAAAAGGAAACAAGAGGGTGCCTTTTTGAAATTCCTAACAAAATTGGAAGATGAGACAAACCATAGAGGGCGCCAGAATATGATTTTGCGTAGGGAACAAAAATGTCTAGAAGCATTTCTGCCATTAGCAGTAGGTTTGGCAATCAGGATCTACATATATGTTTACCAGCAATTTCTGTAAGCTACAGCTCATATAGCCAAATTGCTTTGAGAACTGTAGACTAAAACATTTGGAGGGCACTAATTGTCTACTATCATTAGCAATCACTTTATACAAAAAGTATATATAGTTTTAGATATTTTGTAGCATTTTGATTTGCTTTCTAACGTTGCCCTGCAAGCACCAACAAACATTTGCACAGTATCCAGGAATCTGTTACATGCAAACTCATTTTCTTTGGCTGGCTGTGATTCGAAAGAAACAGAGATGCCTTTTACTGGTACTATAGTGAAGTAACATATTCTCTTTAAGATATATCTCTGCTCACCTGCTGATATTGGGAACCAGGTGAATGGGGATACAATGGGGCATCTTCTGGTGGAGAAGATTCATGCTCATCAGGAGCATCTGGATCATCTGGTTCCTAAAAATGAAATCCACTCCCATTAAAACATGGGGAAAATCTTTATCTGTTTCATTTTTATTTTTAAAAATGATTATTTTCCAACACATTTGTAAAGTTTACACAGTATGGACTTTTTTACTCAGAGATCTAATAATTTTTAAATTACCAAATACAGGACTAAGGCATACCATTTTTGTGCATATATTACCCTCAAAGGGAATTTTATATGTATGTACTTAACATCCTGGTATACGGTATCATCTGCCAACTCCCTTGCCACTAAGCTGTGGCCAATAGTGACATCACTCTATTAGTGTTAAGCTTTTGCCATCTGCAGGCTATATTTTCATCATAGTGAGGCCCTGTATTGCACAATAGTTTGCTCCTAATAAAGGACAAGATAGAAAATGCTGCATATTCTACCTCTCACCACACGTAGGGCACTGTTCTACTGGAGTTACACCTGCTTGACCATGCTGACTCTTGACCTAATGCCTTGGCTACAAAGGTAATTTGGGGCCTTCCAAATGACCCATTCCTTTGAGCTACACTTTCACAATACTATTAATAACGTCCTCCACAAAGTTTCTTAAGCTGTGTCCACCATAACTCCACCCCCAGAAGAAGTCAGTCTGGTATTTAATGTTTTCATTGTCTTTTGCGTGACCTCTAGTGTCTTCACTTTGACATATGGTTATATGAAGAATGCCTAGCATCCTCCAATGATCATTTTCTGAATAATCACAGTTCTCCACAAATTTAGAGAGATTATTCTAGCAAGAATATACAATTTATTTGTTTTAGTGGGCTTCAAACAAGTAAGTGTAATTCAATATCTGTTGTTTACATTTTTTTTTTTTTGCTTGAATGTACTATTCCCACACTGACTGTGCATATGCAGCACAAGAGTAACAATGGGTCAAGCTGGAGCTTGTAATGGCTGCTGAGGTAGTCTTCCAATGGAACAGAAGTCCAATGTACTGATTTCAGCTCTCAGTTTATATTTAAAGAAAAGTGTATGATTCAGGACTCCTCCATGGTATACATGGTATACTACTCAAGGAAAATCATACTGAACTTAAAAACTGGGCCTGATGATAACTGAAATTTAAAAAGTGACCAGTTTATGCAAAAGCCATAAACTCTGTTATACCTTTTCTTTTTGTATTGCATGTTCAACTGATACTTTATGTGATTTACAGAAGTTCAAAACTATGAACTCCACTATGACTTAATTTGTAGTATGGAGAAATCTTGGAGAAATCTGTATCTGCCAGTTTAGAGAACAACTGATGCTTAAAGTTAAGAGCAGAATTTGGAAAATACTGGAAAAATAAGAGTTAGTGACTTCTCTTTTTATGTAGGATTTTTCCCCCCAATATGTTGTACCAAGGGAAAATAACATCTTGATATAATGTAGCCTTTAATATTAATGTTCTCTATCCAATGTTAACATGCAGGTCATAAGCTATTTTTCAAGATTTAACCCAAGTTAAACAACTTCATTAACTTACTGTATGAAGAAACTATAAACTTGTGGTTTTAAAAGCGCATATTAAAGTGTAATACCAACCCACATTTTTATTATATAAGGTGTAATTCTATTGGCAATTTTGTGACAGATTATCTTTGTACTAATGAATGCCAAAGTAACATTAGATTTCTCACCTCTTCTGGGCACAGTTCACAAGCCTTTGCAAGAGTCATTCTTGCACTGTGGGATCTCTCCAGAAAGTAACCATTTGATGTTTCATTACTCTGCACTGGTGGAGACCAGTTGTTGTATGTATACTGCGGGTTGCCAGTATAAGGCCTACGTTCCAGCTCATCTCCAAGCCACTCTACTGCCCAGGTCCATTTTCTCTTCAAATCTCCATTACTCTGTAGAGATAAAAATGAAGTCATCCATATTTGAAGAATTATTCCAACTCTTCTATTCCATACAGCTTTTTAATATAATGTGCTGTTTTTGCTCATGACTGAGAATTAAAGAAATATCAACAAAATGGTCTTTCTATGGGGAGGTAGGATTGCTTTTGTATTTCACTATATACAAAATACAATACAAAATACAAAAGCTAAATTAAATTTAGTTAATTTATTCTGCTGAGAATTCTATTCTGACCAAAAAAGTCTCCATCAATCTATGTTTTTTTCACAAGATTTTTTTTAAAAAATGAAACAAACAAATAAATCCCTAACTGTGAAATGTAATTAACATCACACAAACACTAAGATCAAAACATTTACCTGTAAAATTTGATATGCCACAGGACAGTTGCTGAAGAGAGCCACCATACACTTTATACACTGGTAAGCCCTTTTTTGATAATGGTTCTTGGATCGTTGAATGGTATCGAACAGACCATCACGGTCATCTGGAATTCCTTTAAGTGCATTGTGAATCCTTAGGGAACCCAAACAAATCAAAAGATAAGAATTTCACAGAGGCTGAAAATCTATATAACTGTCACTGTTATAAAACATAGGTTTCCAACCTATGCTCTGGGCTGGGTTCCAGTGTTGTTATTCCACAAAGAAAGGACTGATATTCAGCAAAGGCAAACTTTTGCCAATCCCTCTTTAGAACAAATTTTCATTAATACTCTGAGCTACAAAAGGAGGAAGGATTGGTTAAAATCACCTCTCCTCACTCTTCTGGGAATTTTTCTTTAAATAGCAAACAGCTTTGTAATTAAACTTAATGGATGAGTATCACTTTCTTATATTATCAGAAACTTATTTTATAGAATGAGTAATGAGAACAGAGAATAACTTGGAAGATAATTGGAGTGGGCCAAGTTAAGAAGCAACAATAATCATAATGCTTCTAACATTAATATCTGAAACTGTAATTAATATTGATAGAATATCCACTTATCTATATTCATTATGCTATGACATCTAAATAGCAGAATATTAAAAATTTATGATATAAATATCATTATATTGAAATAATATGCTGTGTTAAAATTGAGAAGATGGAGCAATAGATGATCTATATAGCTAAATGTAATAATATGTTAAAAGATTGAGCTAGTTCTACATTAATACTTTATAGATGTATCTTTAATTTCTTCAAATGTCATTTAATTACTCTTGTCTATTCTTTTTTTATTAGCAATGTTATATTTTTGGCTATCCATCATATCTTCTAATTGTTACACTTAAACAATAAAATATTTAAATGTCAAGAAGAAGAAGAAGAAGAAGAAGAAGAAGAAGAAGAAGAAGAAGAAGAAGAAGA